TATATATATATATATATATATATATATATATTTACATTTCTTTATTTGTAGAAACCAAAATTGACTTATTTGTTTTTTTTTCAGCAAAGCCATTAAACATTTTATGAGTCAAAAAACTTTTTTCACAGTAAGGTTTTGTTTCTGCTTTCCTGTTTCTGTTTGGATTTTGCTCATATTTGCAGCTATAACCCTTCAAAGATCCAGCGACTTATTTCTGGTTTTCTGTCAGGGGGATATGTCAAAAAGTTTGCAAACCACAGCCCTCTTAAGAGGCCCGCAGCATCACACTGCTTTCTGCATGAGGTGCATTTCCACATATTTGTTTAAGATCAAACCTACCTGGAGTTCTTGTTGCTGAAATGATCAGCCCTGTGTCTGACCAACGCACACTTTCCCTGTTGATGTTCTAGTAACCGTTTAGTAAACTCCACATGTTGATGTTTATGCTTGATAAGCAAAGCCTTTTCCTAATAATCCAGAATAATAACAAGAATTATTTCTGATTTTCCGTCAGCAGAGCCTAATTTTAGCAGAGTGTTTCCAACCGGTTGACAAATTGGGGCATTAATAGCAGAGGGTCGGTTCTTCATTGTGTCCAAACATGGATTTAGTCCAGTCTGCTAAACAAATCGTAAACTTTCTCAAACCTCCAAAGAAGCGTAGTTTTTTTTTTTTTTTTAGATGCGTTCGAACCATATTTGGGACTGTCCAGATGCTGGTACCAGTTCTGTACTAGAGATTGCAACTTGGGTTTAACTGACCAGCTCAGAGATCGACTGATATTGTTTTTATAAGGCTGATGGTTTTACCAATTACTCTATCAGTCTAACCGATCCCTGATATGTGCTGCCGATATTTGGGGAACCTGATATTTCTTTATCTTCCTTTATTTACATCATGTGTTAAAGCAAAGCCCCTAGTGCCAAATCTGATCCATAACATTCATTTATCTGGCCCTCAAGAGCCAAAAAAGGCTCATCATCTCATGAAATCTGGTCTTTAAAGTGGCTAAAGCCTCTAAATAAGTGGGAGTAAAGGTAGCAAGTACCAGAGCAAAGTGCTCTTTGTGAAGTAACCAATTAAATCAAAAGTTTCATTTTTACAGCCGCATCAGGCTCCTTTAAAAAGCTCATTATGCTTGACGCACAGACATAGCATGTGGACAATGAGCCGCCCGTCACAACGTCTGCAGGATTTATACGTCCCCTGGATCTGACT